TTTACTAATACGTCGATAAAAATATAAATCTTTATTTTCATCTAGGGTGCTAAGGTCACTATAGTAAATCTTATTTTCACAATCTTCATTAAAAAGTTTAGCAAAATATCTCATCCATCTTTGTTGAATATCATCTTCTAAGAAAAGTATTTTTGATCTTCATCTTTAATACACTTCACTTGAACTAAATCCTTACTACTCCTATCTCTTTGTTTGGCTAACTTATACATATATCTTTCTCCTTCTTTAGTATCTAATCTATTATATAAATCACTAAAAGCTAATGTCTTTGCATCGCATATTAATTTATAATTAAAATTAATTAATTAATTAATAATAATAATTAATAGAAATAAAATACAATAATCCCTCTCCTTCTCACTCTTGGGCTCCGCAGTGTCACGGGATTTGGCCAAACAAGCGCGCGGAAGGGACCGAATTACCTTCACAGTATGAGCTCCTGTTGTCTCCTCCGATCAAAATGTCCTAACTTCCGAGCCGCAGGAAGGGAAAGTCGTTCAAGGAGCAAAGTCGGACAAGCCACGAAAGAGCTGGAGAAGCAGCGCCAAAGGGGAGAAAGTTATCTTCGGAGTTAGCGAGCACCTGTGTGCTTCCGATCAAAATGTTGTACTTCCGACCCGACAGAGAGGGAATGCCGCCGAATGAGCAAAGTCGAACATCGACGGGAGGAGTCGGAGAAGTGGCGGAAGGGAGAAAGTTAACTTCCACAGCAAACGAGCGCCTGTTCTTGCTTCCGATTAAATGTCGACAACTTTCGATCCAGCAGGGATGGCGTCGGACAGCGAGCGAGCTCCTTGGCTTCCGATCAAAATGTCGTATCTTCCAATCCGGCCGGAAAGTTGTCAAAGGAGCGGGATCGAATTGCAACGGAGGAGCCGGAGATGCAACGCCAAAGGGAGAAGGTTTCCTCACAGCGAGGAAGCTCCGTCATTGGTTCCGATCAAAATATCGTAACTTCCGATCCTAGAGGGAGGGGAAGAGCGAGAGTGACAGAGAGAGATATCGAGAGAGAGGGAGAGTGAGAGCAGGAGAGGGAAATTGAGAGTAAGAGAGCCTGAGCTCTCTCATTTCTTCGGTCTTTTTTGAGGCAGAGGAATCATGTGAAGTCGTGTATAGACCCGTCGTTGACGCACGAAGCCATGATGCGGGATGTGCGAATGCAGGATTTTCGGGATTTTGCGATCGTGTGAGTCAGCGCTGGACATCCTCACAGGTACGCAAAAGAATTTTTTTATTTGCTTTTGGCTGCCGTATAAATTTGGCTAGAATTCTTTTGGTTTTCTTGGAATATTTTTCAGCTACGTGCAGTAAATAAAAGGGTGCAAACGCCTTTATAGGTAGATTTGTTAGTAGAGTCAGGTATCATCCACTTGAAAAATTTGGATCCAACACATACATCTTTCGCTCTTGTTTGTATCTTATATTTTATATAAATTACTAAAAAGTTAAATTCTTTGTATCGCATGTTGCTTTCTTAGAGTACTTTTGGGCTTCTTTATATATTTATTAATTTTTTGTGCTTTTACATCTAAATCAATTTTTTGCGCTTTTACATCTAAATCAATTTTTATAGCAAAGCTTTTTTATTTTGATATTCCTTTTTGCTTATTTTTATTTCATCACTAACTATTTTTACTATTAGGACATTTTCTTTTTTATTATTCAAGTACTTACTTTATAATATTCTTAGTATCAGTAGCTATTTTTTCTCCCATAACATTAGTTTTCTCATAAACCATCTAAATCTCGAGATCTTTAATTTTACTCTCAAAATATTTTTTTTAGCATTTTTTAAATGATCTCATTTTATCTTACTACAACATTTTATATTATTTTTCATGTTTAACCTCTTCATTTTAAGCTTAAAATTAATAAATTATGCTAGGTACAAAAACATTCACTTGAAATAGTTTTATAATTTGGAAGAATTTTATAATTTTTGTAATTTAAACGATCTATTTTTTTGTAAGAAAAATAATCAATCTGAGTTTTAGTATGTCCACTCTTATAAGTGATGAGATACTTCTCTCTTTTCTTAAATAAGGTATTAACAATTACAAAATTAGAAGTTAGAGTTAAATCTGATATGATCCCGCTTCCTTCATTATTCGTGCCAAATTCTAGCCGCTTTGAATGCTTTTAAAATCTTCTATCATTTTACTAACATGTTCATTTAAATATCTTCCAATAAAATCTTTCTTTATGAGATTTTTCTAACAATTTTTTTAAATCATTATAAAATTTTAATTTTGAACACATATCAAAACCTATTTGAGGAGCATAAATACTTATAATATTAATAATCTTTAAATTATAATTTTATCTCCAATTATATTAATTTCTACAACATTATTTTTTAAGCTTTTATTTATAATCATAACTCCATTTCTAGTATTACTCATACCTGAATACCATATTTCGAATCTAAGATATCAATTTCCTTAGCCTTTTCTTCAACTATTTTAGTTTCCAGAATATATATAATATTTATCTTCCGATGAATTATAATATCTAATATCTATTAATTTCATTAATTTGGTGGTAAGAAAATTTATATTCCAAGTTATTATCCTAATTGTATTTTAACGGATTAGCTTTGACCACATTCGTCTATGATGTGGTAACTCTTGCTTATTTAATATTGTACATGGGCATTGGTACAATGACCTTTGCATACATTTCATTATAATTATGTCATATAGTGCGTTGCTTTTAGGGAAAGCCCTAATAGTAACATAATGTATTAAATGATTCATGTTATGAATATTCGTCAAATTTTATATTAACTGTTGACTACCTAGTGCAACCCTCCATTTTTCTCAAACAGGGCATGGGACCCTACAACGATAGTGTTTGAGAGAAACAAGACTATCGGTATTTAAACAAAAGACGATTGTCTGCTAGCTGACTAGAGTTATGATGTTGTACGTTTGCAATGTGTTTTCAATTCACAAGAATATTATGAAAATCTTGACTAATCCTATATAACTGTACAGTATGCTCACTACGCTAAGATAGTGTGGGCTAGTAGGGCGTGCATGATGATTCTTGACTTGAGTTATGATGATGCACATGTGCGTGGTCAAATAAATAATTGTTTATGCTCAAATAAATATTAGAGTATTGTTCAATGTATGTTTGTAATTATCAAATCCGAGTTCACAAAAATTTGGGCTCATGCAGTTAACATTATATATGCCATTTTTTTTTAACCATTTAATTTTTAGATGATTTGTTACAACAACAACATCAAGCCTTTATCCTACTACGTGGGGTTGGCTACATGAATCTTTTTTCTCCATTGTGTCCTATTAAAAGTCAAATTCTCGTTTAAATCTAATAAAGAAATGTCATTTCTAATATTTTCTAACCAAGTCTTTTTAGGTCTACCCTAAACCCTATAATTTGTTCATTCTCTGTGCTTATTTTGGCCGAGAAAACTATTTGATTTTTCGCTTTTCTCCTTCAATTATTCTGGTCAATACAAGACTTATGAGCCTTTAATTTCTGCGTAGGTTTTGGCTGAGGATCTGCCAAATATTTTATCTAAAATATCATTTCCAAAATCAATGCGCTGGAATTCCAAGGTATCTCCCAAAATCTGGTTTCTTATTTAATGCTGGCTCTAACTGCTTGAAACATCTTTTTTATCATCTTTTTGTTTTTGCTTCGATATGAAAAAAAGTATTTATAAAGGCTTTTATTAGCTTGCTAAATTCATAGGCTAACGTGCAGCTAAAGTTGTTTTCAAATCAACACCAATTTCATCAAGGCCCCTTATTATTCGACATCTTTGTGCTCACTGTATATGTGTGCATAAATCTGTCAGATATATTTTGCCCCAGTGAACTTTCAGTTGCAGCATTAAAGTTTTTGTTTTTTTATTGCATGTGATTCAGTAATGAAAAAATATGCGCGTAAAATTAGAAGCATACAAATTGCTGTCTACTATTCTTATGAAGGTGAATGTTTCTCTTGGGATATTGTGACATGAGCGGTCATGATAGTTTGTTATAATATTTTATCTTGAGGTATAATGCATGTCTTTTCGCTGCTTAGATATAATAAAGAATAGAATCAAATAGCATGAATGCAAATTATTCTGGTGCATGCCCTGTGATCCTCTTTTTGGCCATCAATATTTGTGTGTTTTATGTTAGCCTTTAATCGGTTTTTGAAATCTAATTTGATCGGGGTAATTTTCAGGTCATGTTTAGCAGGCCAATTCGCTGGATACTGGCATTACATGGTGATCTTGTTGTTCCATTTATCTTTGCTGGAGTTTCAAGGTAGTGATAGCTTCCTATACATGACCATTTTTGTTTTGTAACATGTTTTTATGTTCTATTTATTTGCAAATTTTACTAGTTCATTATTTTATTATTCTGTTAGCAAGATGCAATAACCATTATGACATGTGTTGATTAAAACCACAGTTTGTAAATTTTAAAATTTTCTATTTGTCTATTTGCATATCAATCCTTGTAATACTTTTAAAATGTAAAATTATACTTGCTTCAGCAACTCTAAAGAGACCTGAAGAAAACATACAAATGCACTGTATCATTATTTTGTCATGACCCAACCTGGACAAAATTCTTTATTTCTTTAAAAGTTTAAAACAAATGATGGCAAACTTTGTTTTATCAACAGCTTCCAGTTTTTCAAAAGAACCACTAATTTATAAGATTTAGTCCTTAAATAAAAACAAGCACGCTATAATTTTAACAATATCCAGTGAAATTAAATACTTATCACTTATAACTCATTGGGGGTGCACAAATTTTCTCCTCTTGCTCATTCAAACCACAGAATCGTTTCCTGTAGTGTTTATCATATAGCAATTGTGATTTATAAATATAACTCAATGGTTAAGTCATAGCTCTAAGCTACAATAGATCAAATGTATTGAAAAATAATGTGTGCTAACCATCATGGATAAATCTATATAGTCATAGATCATTTGTAATTCATTTAAAGATAAGAATGCGAAAAGGAAATGCAATATCTTATGTATATTAATAGCATGAATAGGAAAAAAAGTATGTTTTATCTTATTTTATATCATGCCCCACGCCAGCCCTCCCTTTTTAGTCGATGCGTGACGTAATAGAGAAATTAAACAACCGTTTTAACTTTCCTGAAATATACATCAAAACATTCATCCAGCGGAAATTATATATATATATATATATATATAGCAACATCAAAACATTCATATAGTAAACATCCTTCATATCTCATAGTAATATTTATTGTACAACAGTTCTATGAATAAACATAAATTATAAATTAATCTGATTCTACTTAGTCTCAACCTTTGATGTAGGCACGGGAGGGGTTTTAAGCTTTTTGGGTTCTTTGGTCTTTGGGCTGCTTGTTACCTCTCTGGTTGGGCCTTGGCTGCTTTGGTTTCGAGTTAAAGTCTTGGGAACTACTTGGTTCAAGTTCATAAATGCTTGAGCTAATGTTAGCTCATTAATATGAAAAGGTATTCTTCTTATAAGCTCATTAAGTGGAGTTGAATCCTTGCCTTTTCCCCTTCTTTGTGTCTCATCGGTTTCTTCCTGGTGCTGTTACCCATGGCTACTTCCTTCCCCTTTGTTGGGTGCTGGTTTTGGTCCCTGTGCTGCCCTTTCGGTTCTCCCCTGGTGCTGTTTCCCGTGGCTGCTTTACCTTCCTTTGCCGGGTGCTGTTTCCAGTCCCCTATGCTGCCTTTTTGGTCCTGTTCCGCCTCCCCAGGCTGCTGTTCCGTGGCTGCTTTTTGGGAGCTGTTTTGGAATAAATTCTAGCCTATTTTATGGCTCTTTGGGTGCTATTTTTGGGCAGCCCCTTGGCCTTCCATATTCCCTATTTAAACTGGTTTAAATGGAATGTTATGGTGGCTGTTTGTCTGCCCTTTTCTCCTATATATAGGAGATGTTTTGTATGTTTAGGGAGAGTGTTATAATGTGATTTTTGGAGCCTAATCCTGCGGGTTTCGTCGTGGAAAAGCTTGAGAGCTTGTTCCATTCCTCTCCTCTTCTAGGAAAGCTTGTGAGCTTCTCCTCCTTCGTCTCGGCTCCTTATCTACTTCTTCTATCCGTAAGTCCGAGGCCACTTGTATCCTTCTTCTCAAAGCAAATGAAATGCAAGTTTGAGTTTTTATTATAAAGTTTGTTTGTGTCGTTTGTAAGCGTCAAAGTTTGTAAGTCCGTTTATATTATAAAAAGGGAAGTTGTTTTTGGTTTATTTGTTGTATTTTGTCTAGTTTTTTGGAATTTTGTGTATCTTCTATTTCCTAAGAAGGTTTAGTTTTTGCTTGAAAAAATTAGGGGGTTTTCTCAAATTTTTGCTTGCATCAATTTGGTATCAGAGCCTAAGTTTGTGTCTTCATAGGTATTTTTCGTGTCTTTTTTTAAGTGTTTAAAAAAATGGAAAATCACAAATAACTTGCGAGTTATGCCTTCTTTGAAAGCGTCAAAGTTTAATGCAAGTTTAGGTTTGGCGTCAAAGTTTAATGGAAGCGTCACTAATGAAGATAAATGGACTGTTTGGCTGCCCCTTTTTCTCCTATAAATACTAGGTGTTTTGTCTTAGAAAAAAGAAGTTTATGGTGATAATTTTTGGAAGAAAACCTTTGGGTTTTGTTTGTTAGCTTGCGAGCTATGTATTCCCTTCTCCTTTTTCTAGGATTACTTGTGAGTTATGCCTTCTTTGTCTCAGCTTTTAATCTCCTTTCTCTGTCCACAAGTTCGACGCCACTTGTATCCTTCTTCTCAAACCATGGAAATGCAAGTTTAGGTTTTTATTATATAAGTTTGTTTGTGTCGTTTGTAAGCGTCAAAGTTTGTAAGTCCTTTTATTTTATAAAAAGTGAAGTTGTTTTTGGTTTAAGTGTCATTTTATGTTGTAGTTTGAGTATTTTATGTAATTTCTTTTTATCCTAGGAAGTATTTCTCTTGCTTGCAAAAATTTGGGGCTTTTTCAAAATTTTGTTTGCATCAACTATTTAGTTTTTGCTTGAAAAAATTTAGGGTTTTTCCCAAATTTTTTCTTGCATCAATTTGGTATCAGAGCTTTGGTTGGTGTCTTCCTAGGTTTTGTGTCCTTTTTTTTTTAAGTCAAGATGGATAAACATCAAGTGGAAAGCAATCAAGAAAGTAATCCATCTGCAATTAAAGAATCTATTCCTAAAAGCCAATGGATCTTGCCACAAGAAAATTCTTCAGACTCGATAGAGATCAAACTTCTCAGTATTCAAGAACAACTGCAATTATGTGATGAGAGATTCGAGTCTAAGAAGCGTTCACTTCTAGCAGAATTTGAACGAGAAAAAAAGCCATCAAACGAAAGTATGATATTCTAATCCAAGAATCTGAGATGCTGGATCTCTAAAATTTTGAAGACAATTCATCGGGAGATGAGTATTTTCAACTGGAGGAGAATTGATGTAGGCAAGGGAGGTGGTCTAAGCTTCTTGGGTTCTTTGGTCTTTGGGCTGCTTGTTACCTCTCTGGTTGGGCCTTGGCTGCTCTCGGATTGGGCCTTGGCTGCTTTGGTTTTGAGCTAAAGTCTTGGGAACTACTTGGTTCAAGCTCATAATTGCTTGAGCTAATGTTAGCTCATTAATATGAAAAAGTATTCTTCTTATAAGCTCATTATGTAGAGTTGAATCCTTGCCTTTTCCCCTTCTTTATGTCTCCTCAGTTTCTTCTTGGTGCTGTTACCTGTGGCTGCTTCCTGCCACCCTGCTTGTGCTGGTTTCGATCACTGTGCTGCCCCTTCGGTTCTCCCCTGGTGCTGTTTCCGTGGCTGCTTTACCTTCTTTTGCTGGGTGCTGTTTCCAGTCCCCTGTGCTGCCTTTTTGGTGCCGTTTCGCCTCCCCAAGCTGCTGTTCTGTGGCTGCTTTTTCTCTGGTTTTTGGGAGCTATTTTGGAATAAATTCTAGCCTATTTTGTGGCTCTTTGGGTGCTGTTTTTGGACAGCCCCTTGGTCTTCCATATTCCATATTTAAACTAGTTTAAATGGAATGTTATGGTGGCTATTTGGCTGCCCTTTTCTCATATATGTAGCAGATGTTTTGTATGTTTAGGGAGAGTGTTATAATGTGATTTTTGGAGCCTAATCCCGCGGGTTTCATCGTGGAAAAGCTTGCGAGCTTGTTCCATTTTCCTCTTCTTCTTGGAAAGCTTGCGAGCTTCTCCTCCTTCGTCTCAGCTCCTTATCTACTTCTTCTATCCACAAGTCCGACGCCACTTGTATCATTCTTCTCAAAGCAAATGAAATGCAAGTTTAGATTTTTTTTATAAAGTTTGTTTGTGTCGTTTGTAAGCGTCAAAGTTTGTAAGTCATTTTATATTATAAATGTGAAGTTGTTTTTGGTTTATTTGTTGTATTTTGTTTAGTTTTGAGTACTTTATGTATTTTGTTATATTCTTATCCTAGGAAGATTGTGTGTTTCATTTGCTTGCAAAAATTAGGCTTTCTCCTAATTTTTGCTTGCATCAACCTTATTTTACCCATTCTTATAACAATTACAAGAATTAAATTATGGTGAGTTACAATTCTTAGAAAGATGTGCAATTATAAATCATTATTTAATTGTACAAAAGATATAACTAACATGTAGGGGTAATTATTGCATGTAATCAAGCAATGCCTGTTTTATAATATATCATTAATATATATGAACTGCATAAATGAGTTTTATAAAAAAGAACAATGTAATAATAATATGCTTACTTGAATAAAAAGGCAGAATGCAAACCATGATAAAATTGGGAAATTAATATCATGTCAGTTTTCTTAAACATTTAATTATGTAGATCTTTCATTTAATTCTACCTATTTCTTTTCAAATTTCATGTCATCTCTATCTATTCTAAAAATTTGTTTTGTCAAGGTGTCTAGGTGTAGGACCTCTATAGTCCATAAGCTTCATCATGCTAAGGTTGAATTACCTCCTTTGCATTACTGATAATGAAAAACTGCGTATATTCCAAAATATAATTATTTTTATGAAAATGCTTTTTTAATTTACCCCTTTGTGTAGGAAATGAGTGAAGAAGAATCATGATTGAAAAAGTGTCGCGACACCATTGATTATAGTGCTATAGTAATGGAGTGCTCTAAACAGTGCAGTGATGGAGATGGCCAAAATCTAAGAGAGAGAGAGAGAGAGAGAGAGAGAGAGAGAGAGAGAGAGAGAGAGAGAGGTGTTGAGGCACCAAGGTAGATATGCCATAGCGCAATTTCACCGTTGCATGCCAAATATCCCTAGTGCCATTAATGTTTTAAAAGGTAAAAT